ATTAATGTTGAATTATTCAAAAGAATGGGCGGGAAACCTATCAGCTGGTCGATATCTGAGGACGAGCCACTAGGAGGTCGATAAACATGAACTCACTCTTAGATCGAGTCATTCAGACTCGACCAGAGTGGGGGGGGACTAGATGATATAGGATATTATCTGTATAAAGACGAGCCGATTTGGTGAGCCGGTCGAGAAGAGCAGACCGGAAGCGAACCAAGAAGCGAACCAAGCCGAAAGGTGGGAATCCACGGGATCGAGCGGCCCAAGGCTCGACCACACAAGCGATCGAACAATCCGAAGCTTGACTGCACAGGTGATCGAGCACCCCGATGCTCGATTAGACTGGTCGAGCTACCCGTTAATCGATCAGACCAGTGATCGAGCAAGCTGAGTGATCGAGCAAGCTGATCGACATAAGCCCAGACGCGTGTATAGCAGACGCGCGTGAGGGTCTCTGACTGAGCTGCAGGGGAATATTTACCCCATGTGTCGGGTGGACACGTGTCGACAATGTATTGGGTGATAGCGATAACCACCTCTGACAACGCCCAAACGTCCCGCGGCACCTCTGACATGTGCGCGGCGTGTCAGAGTACGGACGGGCAGCTTGGGCAGCACACGTATCCTTATCCGGGCAGCTACTAGGGCAGGTATCTCACCCCTATAAAAAGGGGATGAGCCTTTCTTCCTTAACACGTTCTATTCATTCTCTAAATTCCAGTATACTCATACACATACTGACTTAAGCATCGGAGGCTCTTCACCGGATCCAACCCCCGGTGTGAGAGTTATTTGCAGGTTCTCGGCGTTCTACCGGCAAGGACAAGAATCGATCTACTCCAAACCGGACCCGGACGCTTACACTTGCATTAGTCTTTTTAATGAATATTTTTCTAAAATTCAATGAAATAATTTTTTTGTAGGCGGTACCGCATACAGCGACGCAACGCCTAGCGAGACACACTCCACAGCACGCAGCGATGGGACATTGAGCCCAGCGTATCTGTGACGCAGCCGATACACGAGCATGCCCAACAACAACACGTGTTCCTGGCGACATGCGAATAATATCTCAAAATTTATTTATACGTATTGCAAATGTTGTGGAAAATCATGATAACTATTTTTTGCAGCAAATAAATGCAGTCGAGAGATTTAGATTGTCAACATTTCAAAAGTTAACTGTTGCGATTCAAATATTGGCTTATGCAATATCAGCAGATGCAACTGACAAGTATATTAACATTACTGCAATTGAGAGTGTGAAGAAATTTTATCGTGTTATTGTGGAGATATTTGTAGAGCAATATCTTAGATCACCAAATGCCAATGATATTGACCGACTTCTTCAAATTGGTCAGGAACGTGGTTTCTGAGAATGTTAGATAGTCTAGATTTTATGCATTGACGATGGAAAAGTTTTCCTTGAACGTGGGCTGGTGCGTATGTAGGGGGAAGTAAATCTCCGACTATTTTAAAAATCATAATTGATTATGATGTTCGGATATGGTATGCAAAGTATGCCTGAGTGTAATAATGACATTAATGTGCTAGAGAGATCCCATTTATTTTTTGATCTTACTAAGGGAATTGCACAACACATTATGTTATACAAGGAAAAGAATATAACATGAGCTATTATTTAGCTGATAACATATATTCAAAATGGTCAACTCTTGTCCAAATTATTCGTGACCCACGTAGTCTAAAAAAAATACTTTGCTATGAAATAAGAAGCATGTAGAAAGGATGTTGAACGTGCATTAGTTTCTTGCAAAGTCGATTACTATTGTTGTCAACCCTGCTCGATTTTGGAGCAAAGACGACTTACAAGATATAACGACTACATACATTACCACGCATAATATGATAATTGAGGATGAACGAGATCTTCAATTTTGATGCACGTCTTAAGCTGCAAGAGAGACCCCAATTCCTGATATGGAATTGTGGGTGATGAATATTCTCAGTTTCATATATTTTGTTGCTCGATGTAGAAAAATTAGAAACCTAGAAGCACACATTTGCACTTTGTAATGCATTGATTGCTCAATTTTGGAAAAATATTATAATTTAGACATTAGACATGTTTTTTTATCATATTTATTTTTTTTAACTAATGCTTTTATGTAATATGTATTCCTAGTTCCTAATGCCTAATTTATTTATATAGTCCTATGTATTTGGTTTATACAATTGAATAGTACTTGCATATTATTTACGTAATAATAATATTTCACGTAATACAATTACTATTTCTATCTAACTGTATCTTTCATAATTATATAATAAGAAATCGTTAAATAATATGTACCTTTAAATTAATCTACAATAAAAATAATAATAAGAGAATATATTGTGTTGAGTAAGATGTAGATTAAATGGTTGGAGATGAAATGTCAAATATAATCTAGAGTATAGTAAACGACTCGAGATGGTCTTAGGGCTTCTCAATCCCTGAGCCACAATGCTACTCTACTCAGAGTAGTGCAAAAAAATTGCTCCAGTATTGCGTTACATCTTCAGACTACTCTGAAGTTATGAACAATATTGCACTACATCTAGCACAGTACTATTCACCGCGCTACAATTTTTTTTTCTCCAAAATTTATTTTTTAATTGATTTTTTATCTCTAAATATTGTTTTGATAAAATATACATTAATAAAATTGTTTATTTTGTTATATAATTTTAAATTTGAATATAGTTATATTTAAATTTTATTTTGTACTATGCAAAGTCCAATGTAGCGCGAACGACTGAAGACGTAATTAAAATTTTGTTATTCGATACTTTAGAGTAGAGTAAACTCTACATTAAAGTATAGTATAGTAAATAATTACAATAAATAGATATATTGTGTAACATTGTTTTTATGAAGAAGTTTACACTTACAATATAACAACAACAACAACAAATATACAGCATAGGAGCACATCTACTATATATAGCAATAGATTCAAGAATCTCACTGCTATAACATTGCTTAATTTCCTAATGATAAATCAAATAAAAATGTATATGGAAATTGAAAAAAATAAAAATTAATGCCAAAAAATGAATTAGCTATTTCTCATATCTATACTCAGAGACATAAAGATATGACTCTTGATAGCATCAAACTATACTTTGCTTGATAAAACCATAATATTTAGCAGTACTCTTTGCTACTTTTCAACTTTTTCATCTGCAGCAACTTTTCCATTGGCTTCAACTTTTCCATTGGCATCAACTTTCTCCTTAGCAGACGCGTTTTGCGCAGCATGACTCGTGTTCATTAGGGAGTCGAATTTTTCAGATTTCTCGAGCATGATTTCGATCTGCAGTCAACATGATGAAAAGTCATGAAATGATTTAAGATACACATTAAGAAAAGGTTTTATAGACACAAAAACTCACCCTGGCTTTGTTCACTACTCGACCCTTGTCTTGATCTTTCATCCCAACAGTAGATGTCATGATACCTGTGATAAATAGTTTACAAATGATACTATAAAAACATATATATACATATATATATATAATAATAAGAAGAAGAAATAATAATCGCAAGTCGAACTATATTTCTCTGTCACGATTATTTCTTTCTTCAAGGGTCGATCGAGTTATACGTACTCTTCTCTTTGGCAAATCCATTGTTCTTCAAAATTTCAGCAATAGTGACAACTGTGGTGATTGCTGTTAAATTAAATATTCGAAAAAACGCCAAAATTTATTAGATATTTACGCGCAAACAAGAATCATTTTAAATTCAATTAGAAAAAGATCTTTATTTTACCCATGCCCAAAGCAGAAAGCTCAATCTCATTATGCTGTTGCAAGTACCTCTGCATGAAAAAAATAAATAAATAAATAAATAAATAAATAATTAGTGATCTCTATGTATAGTCGAAATTCCTCTTGTTTGTTACACATTCATATTCGAAACCGCGAAAAAAAAAAAAAAAAAAAAGCAAAATAAGAATCTCATATTCGTTATAGAATGAGATAAATTACCTTTGCAAGATTGACGTAGAAAAACAGAGGTTTCTTCGTGTTCGACACTTGAATTCTGTTCTTCTTCTGGTTTTCGTTGTTTGTTTGTTTAGTTTCGGCCGGTGCCATTGTCATCTTTTTTTCTTATGCGGCCGCTTTGTGTTATATATTTTGCCACTCGAAACTTTTTTCGTTCTATGGATAGAGAGGGCTTACTTTGAAAATAAACATGCAGATGGATTTTATAGCAAACAAAAACCAGTGGAAGTCCTGAAAATTAGCTGTGTTTTGACTGTGTAAACATCAATTGAAGGTCAAGAGAGAAGTAACTATAGGTTGTTAGGGGATGAAAGGATGAGAATAAAAACATGTGATAACATAGCTATTGTTGTGTATATTGTATATATATCAAAAGCTATATATATATATATATATTAAATCCAATAATAGTAAGATTATCTTTTACCATAAGCACTTGAATGACTATTTTTTTTGCTAATGAAGGGAGGTTGTTGTAACAGTAAAGTATGTGTAATATAGTAAAAAAATGGAAGTATTTGTTTGATTTTATTGGATAATTTGAACCAATAATAAGAGAAAACATTTTTTTTCATGTATATTCAATTTTATTTTGTACTAATATATGTATAGTATTTTTTATTTTATTTCTTTTTTTATGGAAAAGTACGTCACATTATACGACTATAGCTCGCGCCAAAGAACAATATTTCCGACCAAACTTGTACAAATGTAGCAACATATTACACTAAAATATCACAAAAATTCGACATAGACATCATCACATTCATGTAAAACATTCACTTCAGTTCAATGTAACATAAACACTGAGCTTAAAATATCTCACATTTAGGCAAAAAATTATCACAATGTTGCTGGTTTAAAGCATTTTGATCTCGACTAGAAAGTTGAAATTCGTTTTTGCTACAACAAAAAAAAATAAAATAAAATAAAGTTGCACACGAGTATGGCCATTTCGGTTCCTATCATGAATTCGGTTATTCTTGGTAAAGCCAAATAATATAGTATAAAGATTAGACTTTCAAACTTCTCAACATGGAGCTCAGAAGGGAAACTTTAGCCGGTGATTGCTGCTTGTAGATTTTCTCCAGTGCTTTTGTAGAGAGGGATTGAAGTTCCGAGCTTTCTTTATCTTCTTTGTTACGCCCTTTTGCCAGCTGGCTGATAGCAGAAACACACTGAAAATAAAATTCAGAATCATATGTCTCAGAAAGTAAAAAAATTATAGAAGATAAAATTAACTCAAAGAGAGAGAGTGTAAGAGAATTAATTTACTAAGCATATGCCAAGAAGAGCTCGAACATTCTTGCCACCGGTTAAGTCTATGGCTGCTGCATAATATTTCTTTGCTGCATGAAGATTTTCGAGTCCTCCTAGTGTGTATAGCAACTAGATGAACCAGGAAAAAAATAAATCAGTTCAGTTTATTGCATGGATACTCATACACAAAGCACGAAAATATTCCGATTATTCTTTGAAATTACAAGTATTTGTTGAGGTTTATACTTTATTGACAATGTTTACCCCTCAATTATGCGATTCGTAAAGTAAAAACGAGTGCGAGTTATTCATTTATTTCTGTTTGAGGGTAACACTTGACTTGTAACCATCACTAAAATGTACTTGTAAAATATGAACATGTAAGCCAATCAGTTTCTTGTTCTAGAGACATGCTGGGACAAGAGATTCGCAATCACAAACAAGCCAAATTATACTTTTTTTCGTGAAAAATTCTATAATTATTCATCATCGAGTACTAGTGAAGAACAAACGAAAGAAATCGACAAAATCTACTCACGTCAGCATAGGCGAGATGATATAATGGAATGGTTGGCTGAGATAGGATTAGTTCCTCATAACAGAAGGCAGCTTGCTTATACCTAATGCGAGTAAGATAAAGAGAGGAAGAAAACGAAAAAAAAA